CAATGTAGACGCGCTTTTTCCGCAAATACTTATAACGGAAAACTGTTCCGTTTTAAGCATTTCCGGAAAAGGGTGCCAGTGTAGACGTAGCCCTGGTGTACATCAGTAGGAACTATGAGAAGGAAATTCTCTGGCCTGTTTTGCAGAAGATCATACAACGATCTTGAAATCTAGAAATCTTTGATTTGATTGCAAGAAAGAAAACCCCTAAGATACTCACTTGAGGGTATCTTTGAAATATTAAATTTTACAATATCAAGTATCTAAAACAGTGCTACAAGGAGGAGGGAGGAAAAATTGCTCTTCTTGGCCTCTGAGGATAGGACAAGAAGCAACGGGCTTCAATTGCAGCAAGGGACATTTAGGTTGGACATTAGGAAAAACTTCCTACCTGCCAGGGTGGTTCAACACTGGAATAAGTTGCCAAGGGAGGTTGTGGGATCTCCATCCCTGGAAATATTTGAGCTGGTTGGACAGACACCTGTCGGGGATGATCTAGATGGTGCTTGGTCCTTCTATGAGGGCAAGGGACTGGATTTGGTGACTTCTCAAGGACCCTTCTGCTTCTAGTGTTCTGTGGTCCTATGATCATTAAGAGTCAGGGTGAAACCACCTGACAAGTATGAAAAATAGAAGCCGAAGGCTGAGACTCCATCCTTGACTCACTCAGATGTGTTTGCTCTTGGATCAGTGCAAACTGGAAGACAATATGCTTTCGTTGATCTCTGCCGTACCACCACAGCTGGGCCACGTATGGAGACGTGAGATGAAGATGGTGGATATCCACAGCAAATATCCCGAGAGGCACCGTGCGGAGTTAGTTACAAAGAAGGAGGAGGGTGGAATCCGAGAAGACTACGCTGGGCAGAAATATGCAAATAAGAAAAGGCTCAAGGAGTTTTGGTGCACCACCGCCATCTACTGGTTTGCAAGAAAGTAGCCCTGGCTAAGCCGATGACCCTGGAGAAAAGGTCACGGTGTGGGACAGAAGTGGTTGCTGAGTGCATCACAAAAGATATGGAAGTCCAGAAGGGTCCAGAGATATTTGGCCCAGCCCCTCTAAATAGACCCTTCCCTCCTCCGGGGTTAGTGGGAGGTGAGAGGAAGTGGTGAAAGTTGACAGCAGAGATTGTATTGTTTTGTCTTCCTTTTATCACGGTCTTGGGTGTTCGCTTCTTAACTCGGTTCTTAGCCTACTGAGACCTGAAAGAACCATACCATGGATTTTTACCTACCCAGGCTCCATGTCTTTTTCGGCTTCCTGTTGCTAAGGATGAGTCTACAACGCGTTATTTTGGAATAATGGACGCTATTCCGAAATAACTGTGCAAGCGTCTACACAGCAGTTCCGTTATTTCAAAATAACGTTGAAATAATGGGCGGTTTCCTTCGGATTCTGTGAACCTCATTCCACAAGGAATAACGCCTCTTCTGAAATAGTTATCTCGGAATAGCAGTAGCAGGATCGCTCCACTGCTGTTACTTCAAATAGCTCCTCCCCCAGGCCATTCACAGTAAGTACTCCCCAGAGCTCCCTGGGGTGCTAAATCGAGGTAGTGCGTTCATATTAGACTAATTGCCAGGCTTCCCTGTAGCGTAGACATGCTATTTTGAAATAAGCTATTTCAGAGTATTTCTTCTGGAATAGCTTCTTCCAAAATAAGTGTGTAGTGTAGATGTAACCTAAGGCAATGTCTTCACTACATGCCGGATCAACACAGCAGCAATCGATCCAGGGGTCTAGCATAGATGCAATAAATCGGTTGACAATTGCTCTCCTGTTGACTACGTTTCTCCACCTCAACGAGACACAGAAGGGCTCCCTCACATATCCGCTGAGTCTCGAGGTTCAGCTGACCCCCCACCTCCTTGCGTTCAGGGCTCCCTCGTGGGAGAGCCCTGGTGCAGCTGGGATCAGCTCAAGTCTCAGACCTATGCAGCAGCATTCATTCTTCACTCATTACATTCATACTCATTTTCCATACAATTTATTTTTTTCCTTTTTCACATTTTTCCTACAGTTTCCACATTTAGATGCATCTTTATTTATTGTCCAGTTCCCATGGGTTTCTATTAAGTGACGCTGCCCTAAGACACCCGGCACTTAATATCAGATTTCATTAGGACTCTATACCAGAAGGCACTTATCATAAAGGCACTGGAATTCCTGTAGACTGACCTACCCCCATTTTCTGCGCGCGCTTAATTCTGTAAGGCACCGAACTAAAGTCCGCCTGCTTACACCATATTCTGCAAGTCACCGAATCAGGATCCGCCTGCTCGCTCTGCGAGTCACCGAATCAGGATCCGCCTGCTTGCTCTGTGAGTCACTGAATCAGGATCCGCCTGCTCGCTCTGCGAGTCACCGAATCAAGAATTCACCTGCTCGCATTGGTCCCCCCCCTTTTTGTTGCGAGGCACTGGATTCAAGGTCCACCTGGCTCGCAGGGGTTTCCGGCACCTGCCCCAGCCCGGCAGAACACCACGTCCTGGCGCCTGGAGACAGCCTGGCGGAATGGGGCACTATGGCCTGGGGTTAGCCTCAGAGGTCAGTACTACGCCCACAATTTTTGTTGCGAAGCACTGGACTCAAGGTCCACCTGCCTCGCAGGGGTTTCCGGCACCTGCCCCAGCCCGGCAGAACACCACATCCTGGCGCCTGGAGTCAGCCTGGCGGAATGGGGCACTATGGCCTGGGGTTAGCCTCAGAGGTCAGTACTACGCCCACAAATAACAGAGAGAGACAACAAAGCTTCCCCACAGTTCCGTGTGCCGAGAGAGAGTAATGGCACCACACCAGCTTTTAGCGTCCGAACACAGAGGGTCCAGCGCATGGCTGCCTCACTAGAGACACCGGTGTGCCCTTTTGGAACTGTGACACATAAGACAGGCCTAATAGACAAAGACAGACACAGACAGACAAAAATGTTAGCCGCTCCACAAAATTGAATTCCGTAGCTCCCCTTACCCTGATGGCTGGCTGTCACTCCAAATCCTAAGCCCTCAACAGGAGATTTCGTAACAGGTATCTCCTTACCTTTTATTGAGCGCTCTGAGAGGTTTGGAAGTGGAGTGCCGGTCCATCCATACGGGCAAGTGGCGCGTTAGGAATCTCGGTGGAACCTCCAAATTGTCGAAGCAAACGCCTCACTCAGTTTACGCGGCTAAACAGACAGTTTTATTGGCCAGTAAAAGCAAAGTGAGCCAAACGTGGTCCCAGCAAAGTCGGGCCCAGTAAGGCTGGCTAATACAATCAATCCTAGTATTTTATACCCTTAACAAAACAAGTCTGACGTCAGGGCAAGAAATCAAAGCGAACTTCAAAGAGGAATTATTATCAGCAGAGAAAGAAACAGGTTTAGAGGGAGTTTGAGCTTCAGCTCAAAAATAGTTCAACAACACATTCCAACAGCGCATCCCTCTGGTCTCTCCCCACCTCGGTGAAGGCCAGTTCACTCCCGCGTGCAGACACAAGAAACTGAAATGGCTTTTGTTATACAGAATGGCTTCTAGCTAAATATGAAATGGTATCTACATGATCCATGAGAGGACCTTTCTCCTTATCCCATGACAGCTTACTTTCCTTAAAAGCCTTTGTGATGGACCTTGTCAAAAGCTTTCTGCTTCTACTGGATCACTCTTACCCACATGCTTGTTGATCTCCTAAGATAATTCTAATAGATGAGTGAGGGATGCTTTACTGTACAAAAGCCATGTTGACTCTTCCCTAACATTTTATGTGTCTGATAATTCTGTTGTTTACTAATAGTTTCAATCACTATGCCTAGCACTGAATTTCAGCTCACTGACCTATAAGTGCCAGGATCACCTATGAAGACTTTTTAAGAAATTGGTGTCATGTTAGCTATCCTCTAGTCATCTGCTACAAATGTTGATTTAATGATAGGTTACATACCACACTTTGTAGTTCTGCAATTTCATATCTCAATTCCTTTAAAACTCTTTGGTGAATAAGTCTGGTACTAATGATTTATTATTGTTTAACTTGTCAGTTTGTTCTGAATCCTCTTCTGTTGACACCTCAATCTGGGACAGTCCCTCAGATTTCTCACCTAAAAAGAATGGCTCAAGTGTGAGAATCTCCCTTGCATCTTCTTAGTTGTAATTCACTTAGTTTCTCTGCAGTGACCTTGTCTTTTTGGAGTATTCCTTTAGCACTTTGTCAAGTGACAGGATTCCTGCTCCTGGCTGGTGTATGTGTATGTGTATGTGTATGTATATATGTGTGTATAAAAAGAAAGTCTGATTATAATTAAATACTATTGGAAGTTATAACCCAACTCCATGACTTACAGGGTCAATAATTCAATTCGTTCTCTTCCTGGTGATAGTAGAGAGATCCTTCTTCCCTAACAAACAAAAACCCCAAGGGTGACAGGAGATCTGAGGTACTCTGTCAATCTCCTCAACATGCAGCACATCTTTGTCAGTGATTTGTGCACTTTTCTTCTCCCTTCTACTTTTTTTGAAGACATGAGGTGAATCCATACAGAATTGAACACTAATATTTCCAAAATTATTTCATGCAGGCATTACCAAAGTAGTAGACACCTTGAAATGAAATCATTACTGCAGAAAAAATGCCCTATATTAAAAACTGGTTTCTTCTCTGCTCCAAAGGACTTAGACTACTAAAGATGTTCTGTCTCATTTCCAGCATACTACAAACAATGATGGATGGAAGCTGTAGCTACTTGCAGGAGAAGCTATATCAGGCCCTCGAAGGGGTGAGCAGCCCACAGGCTCTGGCCATAACTGGCAGTGCTCAGCCAACCCAGACGGATCAGTGGACCAGTATCCTTATGTGGAATTGCAGCATGCAGGTAATAAGAATGAAGAGCCAATTCTGAACCCTACTCTTTCTTCTCTGAGCTCGGCATCCAAGATGAATAGCTTTGAGGACTGTGAGAGGGGGAGAAAATCTCAGACCAAGCCCACAGTGTGGGGAAAGGTCAGCTGAAGGTACGGAGTTCCAACTATGTAAAAATGTAGCTGGAGTCAACGTACCTTAAGCCAAGCTTTGGTGCCTTTCTCACAGCAAGAGGCGATGGGAGAGGCTCCCATTGACCTCTCTTACTGTTCATGAGTACTGGCATCAACTGGGGCACCCTCACCATTCAATTTAGTGGGCTTTACTAGGCCAGGTCTACTTTACACCCAAAACATCAGTGTAAGGTCTGCAACTCAGTCTACATAAATAACATAAGCTGAGCTTGGTGCCGTCTCCACAGCGAGTGGTTGACTGGAGAAATGCTCCGGTCAACTTCCCTTACTCCTTGCAACAGCTCTTTACTAGACCTGCTAAATCGAACCCCGGAAGATTGATCCCCAGAGTATCGATCTTCCAGTAAGTGGAAACGTGACCCTCGACCCGCTAAATCTAATGTTGGAAGATCAACTGCCACAGTGTTGATCTTCCTGCAAAGGGAGACATGGCCAAAGTTTGTTGTTCTTTGTTAGTACTGGAGTCAAAGAGGGCACATACAGACTATCTGTGTGTCAGGACTACTGACCCAGTTCAGGGGCCCTAATGCATACAAACAGATGTTGTTAGTCCATGCACATGCTATTCAGAGGCTCCTCTTTGAGTAGGTGTCATGGCTCAATTCCCCAACCTAACACGTCGAATGTAGAGATGGGGGCCAGCTAGCAGAATAAACTAAGAACCTGCCTCTGTACGTTCCCAGAAACAAACTTGTCTGGTCTCAGTCTCTCTGAGATCCAAAAGGAAATGCTACCACCACCCAAGTGAGTTAAAAGAAAAATATAAAATAAACCCTTTTCCAGGGAAGAGATCACTTGGGAATCCCCTCCCTAAGGTAAAGCTCTCCCTCCTACCCCAACCTTTGTTTTGCTTGGAGTTGGTGAAAACAAATACAGGGAATCCACAGACAACAATGGGCTCTGCTCCTCCAGGATAATCAGGCACATAGGTGAAGCTGATTAACTATTAGAATAACGTAGAAGTAATAAGTAGTCCTGTGACACCTTAGACACTAGATTAGGTAGAAATATGGTCGGTTCTCCATTACTTGACATCATTAATAAAGACGGGATATCTTTCTAAAATATATGACCTAGTTCAACGAGAAAATTTTGCTTGATGCTAAAATTACTGGGTGAGGTTTTGTAACCTTTGTTATGCAGGAGGTCAGAATATATTATCTTAATGTCTCGTTTGCCTTAAAATCTATGAAAACGTATGAGTTCCCCTTTTCTTCTCAGGCTGGGAATTGTGCCTCCTGCTGTATGATTCCTGTGTCTTTGAAGATCCAGGTATTGTGGGCTAAGGTGGGCCTTCAGTCCAACCCACAAACTCAAGTGCTGGGAGCACGGTACTGGTATCAGTGTCAGTCTCTGAAGGTATAGCCTCATTATCATTCACCTCCACCCCCCAAAGCCATAACATAGGGCATATGGGTTATATAAAGTCTGAGGGATCTTTCGTATAATTCTGGTATTGATAGGTTGGAGTTCATTGGATCTTACCATTTGTCCGTGTAGCCTGACAATGGCACGTATGTAATATTTCCACAGAAGAAGGTAGATTA